GCTGAGTGTGCCAGTGCCAACTAAAAAAATCACCAGAGCTAGGAAATGACAGGCCTGGAGGCCAAGCACTGCCACTGAGGTTTGGAAAGTCCTGTAAATACTGGTGTCTCAATAGACAGGAGGAACATGATACTGGTGCTTTTGGGCTGGGGCTTGTTTCATAACCAGGTGTTTCTAAAATGTGGGAATGCTTAGCAATGAATTGTTTGAAGTATTTAGGTTTTTTTCCCTAAGATATACCTATTCTTGCCAGAAAAAAATATTTTGTTTCAAATGGAAACAGGAGTTGGAGGACAGAAGAGGAAGAGAACAGCAGGGATGGAAAGCAAATTGGTAAATTCATCCTGCTGTTGTGTTTATGGTGTGTGATGGGCCCTATGGAGCCTGATTAGCACATTCCCAGCAGCCAGAGCTGTTTGCACAGTGGGAGCAATGGCAGGATTAACCTGGCTCACTGTGGATGCAGAGTGCTGAAAAAGCCTGAGCAGGGGGCCATCGTCAAGCTGTGTTTAATGAATCTGGTAGTGGTCACTCTCTTGCAGGAAGATCAAAAATGGAAGCAAAGACCTGCTGCTTTTCAAGGAGCATTGGATTGAACTTTGATTTAGCAGAAAGAAAAACATTAATTACATCACCTTTGTGCTGATGTTATGTATTTCAGTCCCTGGTTAAAAAAAAACCTCAAAAAAAACACCTACAAACAGGGTAAGAAATATTAATACTGGAAATAGAGACTGTAATTACTGGAGGAGTGAGAGTATTGCATATCCTTTCTCTGGGGTGGAAAGTAACTATCATGAAGAGTTGATGAAAAAAGGATTTAGGTGTATTTTTCATGGTAGAAACAGGGACATCCTGCAGAATCCTCTGTAGCACTTTGTTCTTTTTGGATGTGGTAACACTGGGAGGAAACAGAAGCTGAAGAATGGAAGGGTTATCTGAAAATCACCCCCTCTGCACATGTCAGGAACACCAATTGAAAAAATAGCTCTGTAAAATAGTTGCTTTACTAAAGGTTCATTTTAGGTTAATGAAGTCAGTTGTTACTCAGCACATGGAGAACACCAGCTCAGAAAATTGAGTCATGATTGATCTAAGCTGTGTGTTAATTTTATCATACTATTGTCATTCCTCCTGCCAGTGTCCTGAGCACAATTAAGTGTACTCAGAGCCTATTTTAGGACTGCTCTTGGAAATGAGTCAGAACAAAAGGCTGGAACATTTATGTTTTTTTTAAGAGAAGTATTGCGAGCCCTTTAAAAGCATGCCTGTAATAATCAGTAGGAACACTTCTGTTCCTTTAGCCATTGATTAAAGGGGGCTAGGCTGAAACACTAGTGCAGGCACTAAATTGTGAATTTCCTGCAGGATATTAGGCATAAATGGCAACCAGGGAAGCAGTGCAGTGGCTCTTTGCAGGGGGGCAAATCACAATGTTTCTGTGATAAATGGCAACACCAACAGTAGTGTGTTCGACCTGTGTCAAAGTGCTGGGAGCACTGATGGTGCCTGGGAAGGGCTCATGAGCTCTTGTGGCCCAGGTTTATCTGGTACCTGGGTCCTGCAGTGTGACATGTTGTGTGATGAGTGACTGGGAGTTGAGTGCCATTTTCCTGCATGACAAGACTGTGGTTTAGGTGCATTCTTTTGAGACTGTGATTAGGTGTGGTTTTGATCTGACAGAGCTGGGGCTGTGTAAACCCAGCAGATGAAGGCTTGGAGAGGGATTATGGCTGACCAGCCCAAAGTGAGCTCAACAGGACATTGTAAAACCTGGGACTGGGACCTGCACCTTGGGCAGGGCTTCATCCCTTCAGCAAGCCACGGGCTGCACTGCAGAGCTAAGCACTTCATTCATTGCACTGCTAAATCTGCATGTGCTGTATCAAGAGCCTGCTTCATTACACTTTCTCTTTTCGAAGAAATTTCACTTTATTTCAAGGAACAATCTCTGTTTATTAGATTATGCAAATAGGAGAGTCACTCTGTGCTTCCCATAGAGCTTTCATCACAATATTCCAGTGATAGAAGAGATTGTATCCTTTCTCAGAGGTGCACCTTTGGCAATTTCTATTAAGCCAATGGATATTTTTATGAATAGTGAAGATGATAACATATCCTGGTTATGAATGAATATAATATCACTAGAAAAAAAACACACCACCTCTTTGCAAAGGAAGATGAAGTATTGTTGTTCTGTTAGAGCTCTTTGAAAGAGCACATTGAGAAAAAAGATCTGCTTGATGTGGTGTTTGAATTTTCAAAAGCTTGAAAAAGTCTTTTTCACTGAAGGCTTCTAAAGCATCCAGGCTGTTACAAAATAAGAATTTATAGAATAATGTCATCTGCATATCCATTGCAAATAAACAGGTTAACTCCTCCAGAGAGTTACAGTTATTACTGACCAGATTTCATTACTAGTGGAACTAAGAGTTACAGCATTCACCATGCTCATAACTGACCTGGAAAATTTACTGAGTTATCCCAGTGTGTTGAAATTACACTGATGCTGCGAGTGTTAAGAATTGTAGAAAAGACCATGAAGGAAAAATACAATTCCAGATGACACTCAAAACTGGAGCTTCATCTTTTTAAAACTGGAGCTTCACCTTTTCAAAACTGGAGTTTCATCTTTTCATCTTATGTCCTGGCTAGCTGCATGTGTTGATGGGTTTTCAATCGGCCATTGTTGCATTGTGAAAGAGATTTTTGAATAATTTGGGGTAATTCTTAAACAGCTCAAGGGTTGGGTAGCATGCAAGAGAATAGCAGAAGGTTAGGAGTTACTCGTGGGAAGAGTAGGGAAGGCAATATGCACTCCTGGAATGCACAGTTTGAACAGGAGAGGGCCCAGAATTCCTGCCAAGGTGAGTTGGAGCAGGGAAGTGCAGGGAGGGGAGCTCAGCACTGTTACCCAGCCTGGGTGGGGGAGCGGGGAATGCCAGGGTCCCTGTGCTTCATGGACAGGCTGTGAGGAGAGCAGGGCAGACATCTGTGAAATGCTGGGCTGTTCAGAGGAGGGGGATGAGGACAGGGAGTGCTGTTGGAGAACAAAGAGTGTCCATTGATGTTTGAGTCCTCCAGAGGCTGAAAGGTGGGAAAATGGCAGAGTGGTGCTCCTGTGTGGGAGTGCTGAACCATCCCAGAGCAGGCAAGACTGGCTTGGTGCTGATGCCCTGTGCAGGCTGACCTAGAGCACTGATCAGACAGAGTTAAAGAATAAAGCAGGGATTTATTAAAGGCTTCAATGGATCCACCTTGGGCAGCACAAGAGCCCCGCCAGGGCTGCACCCAAGATGAACCAAAATGGCCCCAAAATGCACGGCTGGGCACGGGGTCTGTCACTGTGATCAGTTCTGCTCCATTTGCACCTTGCAGTTCGTTGTCCCATTCCAGCTTTAGCCCAGGCAGTCCCACCCTGCTTGTTTTTCTCTCTCCAGCCCACGGGGTTTGTGCTCTTGGGCTGAGATTTGGATAATTTGTCCTTGGTGCCCAGCTGGAGCAGGAATTGTTTTGTCTCCCTGCTCTATGCACAGAGCTCACCATCCCCTGATATGAACCCAGACCCACACACTAAAGCAGCACAGAATGTGAAAAATACAAAAGCTAAACCTGAGGCATCAGTGCCTCCTGCTGACCTTGTGCACACCATCCTCCTCCTCTGCTCAGCATTCACACTGGAGCTCTTTGGGTATTTCCCAGCAGCTGGGAGTGCCCCCACAGTTGGCTGGTGCAGGGTGCTGTGCTTCACTGCTGCAAACTTTTCTGACTTGGCTCTGCCACCTTTGTTTTTGTCACCTGGTGAAACCACTGCTTTTAGTCACTGTCAGTGTGAGCTCCAGAGCATGAGCTCACACTGGCATGAGTGAGTTCCTGTAGGGCAGGAGGACAAGAGGCTCTTGTTGGCTTTAGGACACCTTTAGTGATCATTGATGATCATCTGCTGAGTGTCCTAATTCATAAATACTGCACAGATTGCTTCCAGGACTTTCCCTATTGAGCTCTTTAGTAAATCCCATGGGTGCTTTATCATTACATATCAACATTAAAATGCATTGGCCAGCTTTTAATTTAGCTTTATTTTGTATTATATGATGATCACAATCTCCTACTGTATCTTTAAGTACCTGTGCCTGGAGCTAAATTTATATCAATATCTGGGTTCTGTAGAGCAATAGCTGTCGTGTGCCAAAATTGGAGCTCATTTGACATCCTCTCAAACATTTTGAGCAGCAAATCAGAGTGGCAACCTTTAACTTCTGCTTGTAAGACAGACTTATTTTTTCCCTTGTCTCAATCAGTCTTATTAAATTATTTCTCCACAGTATTAGTGATCAAGCCAGCAGTGTTAATAATGCATTACATAAGGAGAAGCAGTTGCAAGGATCTATTTTTCATGTGTAATTGATATTACAAGAGTGACAAACCTCTTTTTTTCAGGTTATCTTGTCATTTATGACCAGGAGGAGGCAGGTTTCTCAGTAATATTATCTACCCAATGGCCTAATGCATGCACAATTACTAGAATGACCTGTATTTTGCTTGTACTTTGCCTTCAAAAAAGCTCTGGATTGTCTTTAGCTGCAATTTGGGACTGTTCAGCATGTATCATACTGAACACTCCTGGAGAGTGGGCTCTCCATCACCTGGTACATTGATCAAGTTGATTTCCTCTCCCCTATCCCTGGCTACAGCAAATTAAAAATGTCCCTGGTTTAGGACAGTGATGTGCTTGATCCTCTTGCCTGGCAGTGTCTTTCAAGCTTTCAAAATCCCTGGGTTCAAATTAAACCCACTGAATTGCACAGCATTGTGTCTGTGCTTGCAGATTAATATTTGGATTTCTGATCAGCTAGAATTTAGAAGTTTCTCAAGATACCTTAGTACTTGCTTACAGTTAAGCATTTCTGTAAACAGTTCCAGCAAATCCAGTAATCATTTCCAAAATACAAAAGAGTAATGCAGCTAAGCTGAGCTCCCCATTTCCATCTTCTGTACAGATTCAGCTTTCATGGGGGTTTTGTACCTGGTGACATTGAAACAAGGTGGAGGAGACTGGAGAGTCTGGGAACACCTCATTGCTGTCCTCAGAAAGGTCCTCTCTTATCTGAGGTAAATGATGAAATAACAGGTGAAAAAGTGAGTTTGTGTTACACCAGCAAGACACAGCTGTGTGTGGGTTTAGATACATTCCTCAAAGTATTATTGCAGAGTAGTTTTATATTTCCCATGTTTCTGCCCTATGCTTCTTTCTGTGGTGCATATTTGATGTTGGGAAGAATCAGATGTTTCAAATTATTGGTAAACAAAGAGAGGATGGGATTTATTATCTGCCAGCCCCTCCAAAAACTCAGCACTGCTCATGGAACAGAAATTCTCTCCAAAGATGAGAGCAGCCTCTGGAAGGGACACCATGACACAGGTGGAAGAGGGAAAAGCTCATTTACCTGAGAGAAAGGGACAGGATTGGGGTCCAAAGTTGTCATGAAATTCACAAATGAATCGAGGGGGAGGTGCCTCTTTCCAGCTTGTGTTTCAAGAAACATGTTTAGACTTGGGAAAACACTCTTCAAGAAGAATATGAAAGTAAATTGTTTCCATGTTTAGGTCAGTTATTGACTCCAGAGAAGCTATCCATCCTCAGACACAGATGTCCTGAAAGCAGGGGAGGAGGAGAGGAAGATGGAGGTGTCTTCCTTCTCCTTAACCCCAGGCCATGGGTGCTGTGTGGAGGTGAATTAGTGTTGGAGTCCTGGTTGCTGAGAATTTCTGTCTTTCTGTGCTGCCAGGCACTGACTCCCAGGAGAACACTGCATTGACCTGAGGCCGTGGAGAAGCTTCCAAAATGGAATGGCAGAACTGGGACTGTGGGTGTGGAGTTTGAATAGAAGTGTGTGATATCACAGGGTGGGAAAGTTAGAGTTTAAGGGTTTAGAATACAATAATATATATAAGGCAAGATGGAGTTTTTAGGGCAGAGGCTGCTCCTTCTTTTTCACCTTCTTCTCCATGGGTTTGGGTAGTTTTGTGTAATTGATAAAAAAGTTCACTTTGCAGCACATGAGTGATTAGTCATTTGGTTAAAAGTGAAAATCATTTAGGTATAATTTCTTAATTGGATAATTTATCCTTAAAAGGCCTTGTAGAGAAAGGTAGTCAGCCATTTTGTAGCCTGTTAGTAGAATGCTGTAGAACTCAAGACATGTAAGACTGTAACATTGATAAGAAATAATATACATCTGAGTCTGAACACAAAATACCATCTCGAATCCTTCAATCCTGACCCTTACAGAGACAGAAAAGAAGCCAAGAACCACAAGAACCAGCAACATAGAATCATTTAATGTTATTCCTGCTTGCAACAATGCTAGAGGGATAATAGTTTAGACCCCTCTTGGCAGGGCATGTTTGCCATTGCATGTGGTGGTTACCAGACTGTTTGTGGATGACAGCCTGCAGATTTGGGGATTTCTTTTTATCTGGAGATGTCAAATTTTCCATACTGGGCTTATGCAGTATGTTGGGGTTATGCCACTGTGAGTTGAAGCTTGGTTTCCATGCTATTGGAAACAGTAGGTCAAGGTGAGTGCAGTAAAATAGTAGGTCAAGGTGAGTGCAGTAAAATAGATAAATGTGGAGAAATTTCAAATAAAACCAAACCCCAAACTACAAACAATTAGTCTTAAACTTAGGAAGGATTTAATTTCTATCATTGATAGAGATCTTACTTCAGTCCAAGCCATTGGAAGTTAATAAATGAGTTGTGTCCACATCCTGCCCCTTCAGGAAGAGGAAAGTCTGGTAGCTGCCTTTTCCTTGCCAAGGAGATATCTGGATGCAGCAGATAAAGATGGTGTTGCACAGATCATTATTAGCAACCTAGTTGAAGAAAATTGTCACTAAAGTTAAAGAAACAGTTTAGATACCTAATAATTCATTATATTGCATGTATTCATTACATGATAATTACTTTAACTTTCAATATGAAAGGCAGCACTGAAGGATGTTTACCTAAACTGCTTTTAACAAGGCTTGTTTCTTACCAGGAATTCGTCTTTTCCTTTGTTTCTGTTTTCAAGCAATTCAAGATTTTTTTTTTTAAGGAAACAGGCAGAAGAAAGAGAAAAATTATTCCTACTTCATGCTGTTTCAGTTGAAATACATCTTTATTTCTTTATTTCTTTAGTGAAGCGACTTTATGCAAATAAGAACTACCAGCAATATAGTAGCCAAAATAAAACAGCAAGCACTAAGTCAGGTAGAAAAGTTGTAAAACAGTGTTCCATTGCTGAATGCTAAATATTCATATAAACATTGTAAAAACTTCAGGAAGACTTTATGGGGCCGTAGATGCACAGTGTAAAATCATTTGAGCTCTGCTATGAAACCAAAGCAATCGTTCTACATATTCTTATCACTCCAAGCTGAGAGTGAGGCTCTTAAGGGAGGGGAGTACTTAAACTACTGCATATATGTAATTTATCTCTTAAACTGCACGTGTCCTGCTGCTCTCCCTATTGCCCCTCTGCACAGGCAGTGATGGAGTGCACAGAGCATTGATGGCACCAATAAATGTGTACAAACATACATCAGGGAGTGGATGAAGGAGACAGTTGTTTCCCCCCAGTGTGCTGTTACTGCCCTGGCTCTGTGCCACAAGAAGAATTTAAAAAGCTCTCAAACAGGACTGCACAGGCAAAAAAAAAAAAAAAAAATGGCAAGACTGCCTGCAAAATATGTGAGGAAAAGGAAGATTTAATCATAATAGCAGAAAAAAGGGCTTAACATTAATCCACAGATTTTTCCTTGTATTAGATTCTTTTTATTTTTTTTAATGGTTGAAAGGCATTAATAGAAAAGGAGGCTTTAACAAAGACCTCAGTGGAAGAATTAGTCAAATGTAAAATGTTTAAAGAGCTGGCCTTATTCTGTAATGGCACTGTGCTTCTGTTTCTGGGAACAGATGTGTCTAGTCCTGAATAGAAGGGAATGATTTGTTACCTGCTGGTTCACATGCCTTGGGTGAACATTGCTCTCAAACCCACAGGAAGGAATTGTTGAAAAATGTTCTGACAGATATGAGAACCTTTATGTGTTCAGGTATGTTTTGGGCTTTTTCTCACTGAGTAATCTTTTATTCTGCAAACAATCTCACTGAAATAGATGGGATTGTTCTACAGAAAAAACAACTCAGTAGGAGTGAGAGTGGCAGAACCAGGCTCTGCAGCAGATGAATGAGATGTTAGAAATGAAAAATTCCTGTTAAGTAGTCTCAAGATCAAATTCTTTTTATCAACATGTTAATCTGCTTATCATCTTATGCAGATGAGTGGGAGGGAACACCAGCAAAGGGCTGACCTGTAGCACCTTCTGTTTTTTACCACAGAATCAGATGGCAGATATAGGTGGCCTGAGTTTACTGAGTAAGGTTGCCTGTAATCTGGATGCGAACACAGAGATGTCAATTTTATAAGGATACTGTAGGAGCTTGAATTTCAACTTTCCAAAACTTCAGGAATTTCTGGTGAAAAAATCAGCTTAGGGTAGAAAAATTTTCCAGAGAGAAATTGTGTGGGTGTTGTTCAACCACAGTTTTTGCAGTACAATTACTTAATGGGCTCTTTCTATAACCCAGTAATTGCTTTCCTAGCTCTTTTAGATTTATCTTTAGATTTATCTTTAGATTTATCTTTAAATTAGATTTATCTTTAAATAACCTGTGTAATTAATATCTTATTTTTAGGAATAAAATCACACCTTGTATTTATCATCCAGGACCTGAGTTACAGGCTGATATGTGTCTTCCATGTTTTGGGTTTGGTTCACACAGAAGTTTCTGTTGACAGAGAATAAATGATCTTGTGGAAAAGATGTGCACCTGGGACTTGCAAGATCTGTGCTTAGTTCTTATCTCAGTGCCAGTATTCCCTGCAATCACTTAATCTGGGTGTGTTTCCCATCTGTTCTGCTGCTCTGGATGCCAAGCCTTGGTGTCCATGTTTGCATACAGATCAGTGCAGGGGATCCCAAAGGTTGCTTGGAGCTGCCTGTTGCTGTTGAAATGCCTATGCCAGTGAAATTATGCCCTGGTTTATGTCTTTGAGTGATTAGATCTTAATTATATGCAAGTGTGTATTCTTCACTTGTAAGGAATTGTGGGCAATATTTACAAATGTGGAGAAGAACTGATTAAAAAGCACGAGGGGAATGATTTAAGAAGTTTAGCAAACTGTGAGCTTACAGAGGGCTTCTCACAGGGGGAAGCAGAGCAGAACAGTTTGGAGTCACCCACTCCAGCTGGTTTTGTCTTTGTGACTTTGCAGCTTAACTTTCCAGCCTCAATTTTCTGGTCAGGCACCAGCCAGGCCCTGTCCTGAGCACAGGCTGCTGCAGGACAGGGCTGCAAAAGGCTGGGCTGGGATAAAAGGGGTTGGTTGTGTATTGAAAGGGATAATTTCTTGTAAGAGCCTGAATGAGGGATGCAGGACTCCAGGCAGCTCTCCAAATGCAGTTTATTGTATACAAAATGCAGTTTATTGTATTCAAGGTGTCACAGCAGCCCAGGGTCGTGGGTGACAGAGTTGTGCCCACAGCTGTCAGCTCCAGCTGCAGCCCTGGAGACCCTTTGGTTTTGGTTACAATGCATTATAGGCTTTTCTTTGCTGAGCATCTTTACACAGTAGAACCAATCTATACCTTAACTATTATCTATAGCCTATCATAACTACTATAATTACCGTATTCATGTTACTGTTCTCCAATCACTAAAAGTCAGTACATTACAGTTTAAGCTAGAGGTTGTTTTTCAGTTTTCTTGCAGTGGAAAATTCTGAGACCTTTTTTCTACTTGCAACACTTGCTGACTTGTTTGCCTGTGCTGTCTTTCTGTTTGGTAACAACATCTTCTTGTTTGGGGTGGGTTTATCCTTTGATCTAAGCCATAAAAACCCCTTCTAACTAACACACCCTTTGCCTCCTTGGTTATCCAGTAAGACTGGCTCAGCAATTATTTTCTTCTATATCCAAACTTGCTTCCCTCTCTATTCCTTCTTCAGATTCTACATTCAAAAATCTTTCTGCCAAGCATACATATCTGTGAGACTTTTTTGTCA